ATAATGGTTCAGAGTAAAATGAAAAGCGAAGACCATAGGAGAACTGTGTTCATCAGAAAAGGTGTAAGGACACTGCAACCACAAAAGAGTGTTCTGGACCTATACATTCATACCAAGAGACAGGGCCCTCAAGAGCTAAATGTTCCTCTGCTGGAGTATAATACTGTCCCATCTATGGAGCTGGCACAAAAACTGATACAATCTATGTACTGCTAAAATATAGCTGGCATGCAGTATCAGACACTTCTCTTCCAGGATGGACCGGGTTTAATTGTTCTACTCAGACTAGCTCACTGCCAAAATCTGCTTTCTACTATCTACCAGTTATAGAGGCTTCCCCTACAGAAATGACCACTGTAAACACCATACTCACTAGAAGTGTGGAAATTGCTGATTGACTAGATTTGGAGAGTATTGTCACTGTGTATGACCAGGCTATATACGCTAAAGCACAGCAAATAAGGTGGAAAGACCAAAATCTGATGCAGCGTATCATCCCAAGACTAGGTTAGTTCCACACAGCCATGTCCTTAATGGCAGTGATAGGCAAACGTTTCAAAGAAGCAGGACTACAGGATATGCTGATTTAATCAAATGTGGTAGCTGTTGGTTCAATAAATGGAGTCATTAGTGGACATCACTACAACCGTAGCATTCGTGCACACAAACTCCTATTTGAGGCAATGCATATCTTGCGGTTGAGGTCATTTCTTCAGTCCCTTTCTGAGCAACAGCACACTCGTTACATATCAGCCATGGAAGATCTAGTACGAGAGTACAAGTCTGAGGCAGGATTTTCATCTAACTCAGTGTCTGACATATTATCAGATATTCTGTCCTGCTATGATAGATATGTACATGAGATGAACTCTGTTAATCCCACCTTTGGACTTTGGAGCTCATACATTTAAATGGTTCAACTGTTACTGAGTTTCATTAGAGCAACCAGAGACTCTGACTGGAGCCTTCACTTAGCAACAGTGAGACGTATGCTGGCATGGTATTTTGCATATAACCGCCAAAATTATGCAAGGTACCTATCAGCATATTGGGTCGAGAGGATCAATCTTCCAAAGACTCATCCACACTGCTATGAAGAAGTTACTGCAAAAAGAAACTGGACAGTACAGCGTAAGGATGCTAACAGGTTCTCATCCATAGCTTGTGCCCAAGCAATAGAACAAACCTGCAACCGTGATTCAAAGACCAAAGGCGGCATAACTGGGATAACATTGAACAGAGGTGCCATCCAGCGATGGATACTGTCTCATCCTGAACGTTCTGCAATCACAAGGCAGTGTGAAATGATGGCTGGAATGCAACATGAAGAGAAGGGTCATAAAGAGTTGGATGCAACAAGAATTGCAAAAGACAATGCTGCTGTTATATCTTTGGTTTCAGCGGTTGAGTCTATGATCAATCCATTCCTGCCTCGTGAAGATATTGTATGTATTAGCTCTGGTGTTGTTGCTACAAAGACTGTCAGAGATGACATACAAAGTGCTTGTGATAAAGGTGAAACAGCTCTGAAAATTTTCATCCAAGATCGAGTCAATTAATAAAAAACAGACTCTCCAATAAAGTCCTTGAAGCTCACTACGTTTGGGGATCAAATGAAGAAATCATCCAAGACAAAAGATGGAAATCAAGTCATTCTAAAAAATGACAGGAGACTCTTTGCACGACTGTTAGTGATAAGTCAATCCCGGTCTGTAAACTAGAAAGAGATTCTGACATATTCACTTGGCAATATCTCATCCCCGCTAGCAAGCACTGATGGTTCATTAGCCAAAACAAATAAGGCTGCTCTTCTAGCTTGTTTAGAATCAAAGAACAAGGACTGTCATGTGAACAAGACTGTTGGTGATAATGGTGTCCTACTGATAGATGGCATGGCATTGATCAGGAGTCTCAAGAATATACCAGACACATTCGGTGAGCTTGCTGATGATCTTCTTCAACTTATGATTAAGATGGGTACAAAGTTGAGTTGTCCAAGGGTCGATTTTGTCATTGATCGCTACCCGGCAGTAAGCATCAAAAATGCTGAACGATCAAGACGTGCTGTTGTTGGACAACAATTACTGCAAATATACAGCATCAAGCAGAATACTCCAAGTCAGTGGACCAAGTTTCTAGCCAGTGGTGAAAATAAAGAAGCATTGACAGACTTTCTCTTTGAGACATGGAGAACTGTGCCTTTACAAGCAGCTGGAAAAGACATAGCTATCTTTGTGGCACACAGAAATGTATGTCATCAACTCACTCTTAAAGATGGCATTATGTCTGTCAAAGAGGTAGAATATTTGACTTGTGACCATGAAGAAGCTGACACGAGGCTCCTACTTCATGCAAAACATGCCTGCAGTGAACGTTATAATAAGATAATCATCCAGAGTCCTGACACTGATGTTGCTATCATTTCACTTTCAATAATGGCTAAGCTTCCCTCAGCAAAGATGTACTTTCTGACAGGAACAAAAGACAGGCAAAGAATGTTAGATCTCCAGGCTATTGGTTCTGCTTTGGGTCCTTCACTAACAGAGGCACTGATAGGACGACACACATTCACTGGCTGTGACTCAACTAGTTCCTTTTATGGGAAAGGAAAAGAGAAACCACTAAATATAGTGTCTGGAAATGCAGAGTACATCAGTGCATTTGTTGCTCTTGGGAGGCAATTTGAATTGGACAGCACCACATTTGTGACCATAGAACGTTTTGTGTCTGAGCTGTATGGAGAAAAGGTATCAGATGTTAATTTGGCCAGATACAATAGGTTCTGTGTCCAGGCCTCTTCCGAACAGGCATTACCTCCAACAAAAGATGCACTTACAGAGCACTTCAAGCGTGCTAACTACCAAGCTGCAATCCACAGGAGAGCATTGGATCCTTTTATAAATGCTCCCAGTCCAGACGGCTTTGGATGGATTGTCAAGGATGGTGATCTCATCATATCATGGATGACTAAAGATCCAGCTCCTCAACAGATTTTGGGGTCACTCCACTGTGGGTGTAAGTCTGGTACATGCCACAAGGCTGACCTGGCCTGCACTGACCTATGTAAATGTGTTCATTGTGACAATGTGAGATTAACTGAGGATATTGTTTCATGTGAATCTGATAGTGAGGACAGTGATCTTGATATTTAGTGATGTGTATATGATAATAATATAAAATAATAAAAATAAAACATAATAAAACAATGTTATGTTTTATTTTTATTATTTTTATTATTTTATTACTTCCCTTCTACGTGACTTTACCGAAAGAACCAAGAAGATGAATCCCTGCAGTCACGAAAGCTTTAAATCGAAATATAATAATATAAATCAATCAAAATTAAATCTTGTTTACAATAATCATTCCTGTGAATATGTACATGTAGTGCAGTTACTGCTCGTGTATGCGAATTGACAATTCACCATTAAATGTGTTATTTTAAAAAGTGTTTTTTATATATTATATTTTGGCTTAATTCTATTTGTTATTCAGATTTTACCTCAAATATTACCTTTGAATTGGAACAACATAATGAGAAGTAATTGGGATGTTAATGCTACAGTAGAAGTTTTCTTGATAATCTTATCATGTTTACTGTGCATAGATAGCAACTTCAGGTATATCACACATTTCAAACTGGTTTATTTTGTAATTCAAGTGGTAATTCTGCATTTTTGGGTTTATATGATAAACAGGTTTGAAAGTGCAAAATTCCCTATGGTTTCCCTTTTTTTCAAAATGGGCACCTTTAGCATCATTTTTCTCAAAAACTGCAAGGTTGTGTGCGGAGAACTTTTTCCTAAGGAATCTCTATATATTTCTGATGTTAAATATAAAAAAGTAGGTAGTGCCCACATTGGTGGAACGAAACCCTATTTCTAGGCCTCTTTTAGGTTACCGACAGCGGCCTATATTTCCCGAGCGACATGTTGCGTTACTTACATCATGGGTTAAACTATCTGTCGATAATATAATCTAAGCGAGATCACTGTTGATTTTACCACAAGAACGGGTCGGTCTGGGACAGTTCAGGTAACCTACAGTCTAGCAGACTGGAAAGCTCGGAAAATAATTCCTACAGAGGTAAAGACAGAGGTCGATAGATGACAGTGGTCATAAGCGACCGTATTCTGTTTGTTATTTTCATAAGCAGCAGCTCAAATGACGTGATTGTTGATTAATCTCTCAGGATTTTCACGCAGATTTCTTCACAGTGAATTGGTGCTATCCCTCCAACATGCGAGCTACCAGTGACAGGCTTCCTGCAATTGTGCTGATGTACAATAGCGTATCCATTCGGTGCAGCCTCATGGTCATATACCCAGGTTTCAGGAACGACCAATATGTACTGTCCACAATCGTTAATCAAATCGTGGATCAGCGCCGTACCATTGACTATAGAGCATGCATTGGCCAATCCAAATTTGAGGAGCCCTGTTCCAGGGCTTGTATCGATATCTGACATCAGCAGCAGTATGGCTATGAAGTTGCTCTTCCATGATTGCGTGGATGTAGGGCGGAAGAAGAACCGACTAGATCTGCAGCACAACCATGTGCGAAGCATTGCAACAAGTGACAAACACATTCGGTTAGGGGTCAGCATTTCCATAGCAGATCGTAGCACATTGGGTGCAGAACTCGAGTAGTTTGAATTGGAAAGTGGGCCAGCACTTCCTTTAGCACGTTGGAAGCTGGGCTGAGTCTGTTGGCGAGTCCCACTGAATTATAGGCGACGTTTGGATGAGATAGAATTGGTTTGTCGATATAAGCCAAGATAAATTCCCGGTATGGCCCCCATTCTCCCCGGAAGATATGAGGCATTACTTGACCAGACCGCTCGGCTCGCTCAGCGGGAATCCCACAAGAGCAGGGCCCAGCTGCAAGCAGCCAGAAAGCAGAAGTCATCACAAGGTGTTGTTGCTGTTATTGCTGCTGTTATTCCTGCGGGGGGGGGGGGGGGTGCAGGGGGGGGGGGGCGCAGAGGGGTAGTCTCTCACCGTCTAAAGAAGTCATCATCCTCCCCTCCCCAGCCCCAGTAGAGATTCGAGAAGCCGTTGATTGTCTTGAACTGGGCCCTGGACAGGGCAGAGACCCCTCCGAAGGACTGCAGGTACGGCAGCCTGGGAATGCACAAATGAACACCAAGGACATAGATCCCCATAAAAAGTACCATAAATATTAAACATCTGTTTTGTTTTCCTGATGGTGGCTGGCTTGTCTAAGAAAGAGCGCAATAAGTAACCCCAATTGCATACACGGGCACGCGCGTACTGTTCCAAAATTGATATTAAGAATAATTATTCCAATATTTTTTTGTATAATTGATCGGGGCGAGCATGGGACATGAAAGGGTAAGGCACAACGCTCCCCACACAGCAGCTGCCCTTCACACCCGACCGCGAAGGAAGGAGCCAGGCCTTGAGGAAACAACTTTTCACCCCAATAAAGTAGAACAAACACACACACATACCCAAAACAGTGGGGGACACAACTCTCCCCGGACGAGAGATGACGAAACAGACAACGTTTTGTTTTGGTTAACTGATTTTTTGTTTCTTCTAACAACAAGTAAAAGTGTAAAACTTAGCGACAAGAATAAGTGAACATCATAGACCCACACACTCCGATTAAAAACCAGGCTACAATCTACATTAGTGGGTTATTATTTTTCATTTATTATTTTAATACTAATGTTATTCATCTTTTTTATTATTCTTCTTCTATCTACGCAACCTTACCAAAGCACCAAAGAATGAATTCTGGCAGTCAGGGATGTTTTAAGCCAAAACGTAGTTACATCTCCAACCTCTGGATATCAAAAAAATTAATAATCATAATAACTCGAAAATAAACAGCACAAATCCCTGGATACAGACGGGGGAACAAATGTTAATACAATCCTAGGAATATACGTGGTAATAACAATGATAAATCACAAATCTTGGATAAACATAAACTAAATAATAATTATGAAGTATTAGACCAAGTGTCATCGAAAAGAAAAAAAAGGCGAAATAGGTCAATCACGCGCAACCAAGATGAAATGTATTCCATAGAGAAAGCCTCCCAGCCGCCATTGTCTTCCAGAAACATGTGGTAGCAATAAAATCACAACGGGAAAAGGGGGTAGAGCAGGAGAATAGCACTCACAAGGAGAAACTCCCTCAAAGAGAGTTTATTGCAATAATGAATTGGGGTGTAGCAATTTGGGACATCTGTTTTCCACGGATAAAAATATAGTTTGAAGAGGGGGACAGGAACCAGGCCAGGGTGATACTTAACAGATTGCTTAATAAATCAGAACACACACACACGGACACACGTACAGCTGTTCCCACAGGCTGAGAGCGAAATCAAAGGGATTCCGGTCCTTTGTGAGAAGGCGAGCCGAGGGGAGAGAATTTTGCAGATAAAAACAGAGACACGACCCATACATTGCTGCTACTGCGAGAGACAGAAGACTACACAATACAGAAGAGTTCTGCAAGCGGCAAGCTCCGGGGTAGGCTCTGCAATCAACCAAGGATGGCGAGACTTGCTGAGTAGTGACGGGTCACCGGGTACGAGTTCAGCGCTGACAGAAGAAGTATCACTCAAAGTAATTCTACACTGAGTGCCAGCTCCCACCCAGAAGCTGCACGATCAAGGAGAGCAACGACAAGCAATCAACCTCGAGAAAGGGCAGAAAGCGCCAAGCATCGTCCAAGTCAGCATCGCAGAGAACCAGCTGCACGCGCAATCGTGCACCACCAGAGAGGACGGAGTAAGAGAGAGAGCACGCAGCAGCGCCACCGAGCGCCACCGAGCAAGGGTGTCAGCTGCCAGCAGACAAACGACAAGCGTTGTGCAGACTCAGCTCATCCAGCAGGGGAAAGAGCCTGACCAGCCGCCCGTGAGGAAGAGGAGAGCGTCGGTGAGAGCGCCGTGGGTTAAACCCACACACATACCGACCAGCACCAGCTGGGAACCAAGACAAGAGTGAGGAACGGCAACCAGCGCCCACACTCACACACTACCACGCATCGCCTGGCGTCTGCCTGACGCGAAGAATTGATCAAGGAGACCAAACCACACACACATAAACATACCCGGACTAATAATAAGGATCAAGGAGACAAATCACCACACACACATGAAACACATTCCCGGACTGATAATAAGAAGACTAATGATAAGGATGCGTCAACTATTAGCTGATAACGAAGAAAATTTCTGCCCATTGAGTTACGTGGATACAGTCGTTTATAAGTATTTTAGTCGTTATTTTTCTTTTCAATTGCATAAATATTACCAATGAATTCAATGATGTAAACTAAACGTTTGAAACCTACGTTACGAATCTACACGCACACAGGGAGAATAGTGTTAAAATCTTTCTTTTGCTCACAGAATCCTGCCAGCGAATTTATTGAAGCCGTAGCCAATTGATAAGCATCTGCTGAAGCAGGCACACTGCCGCACACCTTTGTTTCAAGACATTTCGTTAAATGCATAATCTTACCGATGAATTCATTGCCGTATACTTTTGCCTTCGGAATATGTTTCTTTTTTGCCATTCGTATGAATATCGTCGCATGCATGTTTAAGGACGTTTTCCTATCGCCGTATATGCTCACGTTACTCTGAGGAATTAATCGATTGTTCTGCTACCCAGTTTAACAACGTAATCATCGAGGGTTAAATGTACAGATCAATGAGGAGAATATCTCCAGGAGTACTGTGTTGACAATTCCAAGCATAAGAGTTCGCATATTAGAGTGTTATGTTTGTGTTTAGAAATTAAAGTTGCTTAACACAAAAGTGTCTGAGTGGTACCTTCCTAAGTTCATGCGTAATAATCTTAATTATAAGAACTGTATTCTGCAGTGAGGTTTGAAATTGGAGACCTGACATAAACACACTAAAACATAATCAGTAAATCTTCTTGGTTCTTTCGGTAAAGTCACGTAGAAGGGAAGTAATAAAATATTAAAAATAAAACATAATAAAACAATTCTCACGACGTTTCGGCCACAACGCAAGCAGCCGTCCTCAGGTGAAAACCAGGTCCATCGAGGCGACAGAGTCTGTCGCCTCGATGGACCTGGTTTTCACCTGTTTTATTTTTAATATTTTATTACTTCCCTTCTACGTGACTTTACCGAAAGAACCAAGAAGATGAATCCCTGCAGTCACGAAAGCTTTAAATCGAAATATAATCAGTAAATGTTAAAGTGAGAATCATTGTATTATCCCAATTGATAATACAACCCTAGACAACGAAGCCGAGCTTAATTTAGTATTCTTGCATCACACTTGTATAACTTCATACAATGCATTGCATCATCCCGATTGATAATACGACCCTAGACAACAAAGCTAATCCTAATTATCATAACTGCATACATTAGCATAATCGCATACATTCGCATAACTTAATACACTTACACCTCCATAATTAGCATAAGTACGTGCATCATTATATAACTTAGCATAATTTAGGATAATTACGTAATTTGCCATTTCCATTAAATTTTTATTATAAATTTTAGTTTTTCAAGATCCGGCATATACAATATAATGGGTGGCTTGCCCGGAATCTCTCACAGACAGTTTAATTAAGGAATGAATCCCTGTTGTGTTAACCAGAGTATTGTGAACTAACATTGCCTTGTAAACAGGGCGTAAAACAAACACACAAAAACGCACTCTGAGGTGAAATACCAGAGTAGCAGAGTATAACGAAGACAGTTGGATTAAGAAGATTTTCTCGAGTCGAATTGACTGCATCCTGTGATATAATTGTTTTCATATGCACTCTGAAGTGAAATACCAGAGTAGCTTACACTATACATGAGATGCTAGGATTAAGAGGAATTTTTGAGTGGATTGCGGAATATTGGGAACTCGTATTCAAACACACAGGCCGGTCTGCTAAAGAGCAGAACAATCAGAGAGACACATGGGAGGAGAGCCGTATCGATGACATTAAGACACATCGAGGGAAACTACTTAAAGACTTGATAAAATGTGACAAAAGTTAGCACGATGTAAAAACTGCAGAAATAGCAAGACTAGATTCATACCTTCTCACACAGGCAGACAGACAGAGACTGTGGAATGAGGAAAAATTCGAAAAGGAAACGGGCGAGAAACTGTCTCTGATAGACGAGGTAATATGTCTTCACACCCTCGTAAGAGAAAAGGAATAGGTTCTAGCGACACCAGCAAAACTCACAGACACTCATTCACAGAACAAATACGAAGGTAGCAGTACACCACAGTCACGTGACTGTAGTCCAGGAACAGACCACACAAAAGTATGGTTATCAATCAAAGTAGCTTTGACAAAGAAACCCCATCGCAACTCGAGAGAAGGGATGGAGAAATACAGACGCAACAGGAAAGCCGAGCTCAAAGACACTCACCACATAAGCACAGGCTAAGAGGACAACGCACACCAACCCATAAACAAGGATCACAAGACCAACATAGGAAACCTAAGGAACACAAGCCACGGGACAGGCAGGAATTACCAAGCAAAGTTGACCCACGTTACAGGCGCAAAATACACTACAGAAGGTATGTTAAGCAGCGCCACAGTTGGAGTAATAGCTGACACTGGCTCCTCTGACGACGACCAACTTTCCGAATACTCATTCAGTAGTAAGACTCTGAAATTGATGGACAAAGTTCTTGTCAGAATTCCCTATTTTGATCCACACAATAGAAACAGAAACATATACACTAATATCGCAACAGTATAAGTGGAGGCAATGATCAGAGGTCTGAGGAAAAGGGACGAGAAAGCGAGTCCGCTGAAATGAAGTTTACATGAACAATCTATACCATTGGCAAAGCCACTACCATACAAGGTTCGCAATGATTTCAAACAACTGAGCCTGGCAGTGATTCGAAAGTTTGGAAAATATTCAACACTGTCTGAGGGGTTTAATGTGCCAAATCTATGACCCAATGCGTAGACGAGGATCCGCGAGATTACCTCCTACGATTTACGCAGGTGATGTTGATCAATACCACGAAGGTGACAAAATGTTCAAGATTATGTTTTTTTAATCATTGAGTCCAGAGATTACAGAAATTGTGGGAATGGTTTTGGACCCAGAGACGGCCTCCTTAC